AGAAATACACTGAATACAATTGGAGGATTTCCTGCCTTCTCCACTTAAAAAAAAAAATTTGCGTGTGTGAGCCCATTTCTCCTGTTTAAAAGTTTCTCTTCTCGTAGCTCATCAGAGCTAATGGCGTCCATAATCCGCCCCGGTTGGCTTCGTCCTCCAGCTGCTTCCGGTTATTCGCAGGTTCAAAGTTCGTCCTTAATCCGTCCATGAAGCCAAAACAGTAAATATCCATGAAGGCGTCCTCATTCCAGGTCCTTTCCATGAAAAACAGCTGAGTCAGGGATCCATCACGGATCGATCAGCCTGCCTGAGTGACTCACATAACATTTATTGTCGTTTTGGAAACAAAATGAAATCTTGTTTAGTGCAGCTCTGATGGCAGAAGAATCCTGGAAGCTTCTCTACTGGGAAAAAAACGTTCATTAGTTTCTCAGAAAAATCATCGTCAGAAGCAGGTGAGGAATGTTTATCCACTCTGTGGCTCCCCACCCAAAGATTATGATAAAATATAATAAAGTGGAGAAAAGCAGAATGAAGTGAACAATCACCCCTCCTAAAAATATGTCTTCTTTGTTTAATAGAATCTGGCAGCACACCTGTGCTACCAAGGCTATGATGAAACCGTCCGGTCTGACAGCGCAGGTCTGGATCTACCAAGACGTTCACTGAGTCACTGATAAAAACAACAAACTGCCAATATTCTGCTGTTTGTAACTGAAGCTGCTTTTCCAGCCAATCGTCTCCCTGAGAGACGAAAAAGAGGAAATTTACACTGAAATATGATTAAATATTCAGTCTCTGCTGGAAGTGGAGGATTTAAGCAGAAGTGCTGAGTCAGCATTAGGTCAGATACCAGGTCACCGTTGATTCAATCTGCATCTAAACTCTGATCCAAATGAACATTGGTAGAAAAAATACAATTTGGCTTTTTTTAAGCAAAATCAGGGAGTCATTTAAAATGTTTTTCTTCTGTGAAAATCTGATAATATCAGAAATGAGAACTTCTTCATGGCTTATAAAAACATGGAGGCCTAAGAAGAGCCGCCATGAGGCGCCATCATTTCCAACCAGAGCATCTGAAAGGAACTGTGATAAACTTCCCAGATCTCTGAGAATCACCTCTCTGCCTCAGTCACCATGGAAACCGTCCCACGCCGTTTATTGCTGCGTAGATCTCATTATGTTTTTAATAGAGAAACATTCTCTATCTGTTCTAGTTCTAGATGCTGCACAGACTGGTTAAGTAGAGCTTTGCTTTATAGAATGCACCACTGTTTTAAAAATGTTTTATAAAACAAAATTAGGACCAGCCAAGGGACCATCAGTTCTATTCTATTCAGTGTATTTCTATAGCTCCAATTCACATCATGTCATCTCTGGTCACTTTATAGATCCACATCAACCAGATCATCCAGTCAGATTGATTCAAAGTTTTCTATCTAAGGAAAACCAGCTGATTGCATCGACTCATTGACTCTTCAGCAATCCCTCACACTAAGCATGCTTGTAGCGACAGTGGAGAGGAAAAACTCCCTTTGAACAGGAAGAAACCTCCAGCAGAACCAGGCTCAGTGTGAGCGGCCATCTGCTGAGGCCCACTGGGGTTCAAGGAGACAGAAGCAGACATAGAAAAAGAAGCATAGATACAAAAGGCAACTGTCAACCAGCTCCACAGGCGGCCCCGTCCAGGAAACACACAGCCAGGCAGACGAGCTCCGAGCCAGCTCCCATGTCAGAGGATGAAGAGAGCACATCCAGTTAGTCACAGTCAGAGAAACAGGACTACACTGGAAAACAGGCCAAGCTCCAACATCTAGAAACAAAGGTGTTGATGGCAGCAGCACAGCTGATATTTAGTGGGGAAATTTGAATGGCTGCTACTGTATGAGCGTCTTTCCCTGCAGTAAAATATCGTCACCAGAAGAGAGCAGCTGGTTCAGCAACTGATCCCAAAGAAAGATTTCAACCCAAATAAATCAGATGATTTCCTGCAACTGAACTGTTTTTGATGCATTTTTAAACTTTTGACCAAAAGTCTAAAAACATGACTGAAAATGTGAGTCCATCAGTCTGACCTGTGCAGCTGTCCTCATGCTGCCACAGCTGGATCTGATCTCCTCTCTTCCCAGCCCTGCTCTGCAGAACGCAGCCTGGATCCTTTTATTAGAATCTGCATCTTTCTCCATAATAATAAATCTGGTAAAATTCAGGAGAAAACGTTTCAGATCGATGCAGCTGCAGGCGGATCAGACCTGTTTGCAACAACGCAAGCGTCCGTCGCTCCTTTTTCTACTCAGTAGAAAATGTGATGAAATGAAAAATGTTTCTACCACTCGTGGCTTTTAGCATCTGCTAAGGTGTTAAAGTGAAGAGCTACTCCTGTTTTAAATGCTCCTGCATCACATTTCTGCTAAAATCTAAAGAGTTTCACCAATTAAGCCTGAGGAAACCTTTTAGTGCATAAAAACAGGTTTAGGACGAGACATAAAATCAGACAAACTGGTCCAACATGGACTGAATTATTCTGGTTACAGTTTAAGTTCATTTTCATTTGGAAAAACAAGAATTTAACCTAAATGACATTTTTATATGGAGTTATATCCGTCTCAAATTTCACAAATAATGTGATTCAAACACGTACAGATCAAGATTCTCCAAAGTATTTCTGCTCCAGAAACAATCAGATCAGTCATCAAACGTGGAGTAGTTTCTTGTGATTGGTTTATATGAGGGATCTCTGTGATTGGTGTAAACTATCCCCTGCTTATCAGAATGCATGTGTGCATGGAGGTATGGAAGAATTATCCTGCCATATGGAGGCACGTCAGAGTCTCAAAGATCCGAACACAAACGCAGGGAAGTTTAAAGACTAATTTCACCTATAATTGTTTATGCAGCAGAAATATTTGCTGAATCTTGTTCTTTGCATGTTTCAATCACATTATATGTAATTGTGAAATTTGAGACAAATCTACCTCCATAATTTTAAACTTTATAACAGCTGGTGTGTTTTTTTCATTAATCTTAAACATTTAAAGTATATTTTGTAAGACGGAGCGACAGGTAAAGGTGTAACTTTCAGCCGGAGCTCCTCTCCAACACGACTTCATCCTTTAAAACTTCTGCTCCAAGAAACATTCATTTGAGCTTAATTTAATTTAATTTTTAATCTAAGCTGAAAGTTTTAAATTCATCTTATTTTGGTTTGTTTTAGAGATGCAGACATCAGACAAACTGTCTCATGTTGGGATAAAAGCTGCAGCTGCTTTCCTGAACGTTTCCTTTCTTCTGAATCATGAGGATAAAGTTGTTATTTTATGCTTAACGGTGTTTAAAGTCCTGCTGATGCTCTGGGTCGGCCTCTATCCACTCACCCTCTGTTGATGGAGGTCTGCAGGTCATAAAGGTCACCTGCCACCTGACTGAGGTCCATAGAACGAGCCGCTCACCTGTCCTGTCCTCCACCAATGAGAGCTGATCGTCTTTCAGACTCCATCAGATGGAATCTGCTCCCTGTGGTTTTATTCAACAGTCTGCTAACCCCTCAGTATTAATAAGAACTCTGCTAATAACCAAACCTGCTGGTTTTACTCTGAGCAGAAAGGAAAAGCCCCCCCCCCAGCCTGAGCTGCATCTATTTCTGTGGAACCCAGAAATTAGGGCTTAGAAGCAGCCCTCTTCTTTTATCTTCTCTCCGCCGCGTCGCATCACCTGCAAACCCTCTAGAAATGGGTTTATTATCCCTTAATCAAAACGGTCACCGAGCTTCTGGCCCTGAGCTGCAGCTCCAGCAGGCTGAGGCTCAGAGCGACAATCGGCCCCCAGGAGCCTTATCGCTGGTGGCCAGAGGCTGCAGCAGAGCGCCACGCTGCATTTGGATGGACTACCCGTTTGGACACAGCTGCAGGTCTTTAACTTTGGCTTCTATGGAAGCAGAAGTTTAGGATGCATGTTTTTATTCTCATCTATTTGATGATGTTCTAGTTTAGAGACGAAGCGGACGGTGTCTCCTGCTACTCACCTTCCTAACAGGTAGATAATAGATTGAAACAGACATGATGAAAGTAGATCCACTGTAACAGTGTGAGCGCAGCGGGCATGCAGACCACATCCTTTTATTCTATCTCTATTTTCTGATCACAATGACTTCTATTGCTGCTGCATCCTTTTCTAAAGCAAACAGCCAACCTGCTGAGCGTCACTGGAAACACTGAACTTTAAGAAGGAAGGAAATATTAACCATTCATCACTAATGCTGCCGATAAACCAGGAGATCATGTCTGAGTCCAGCAGACTGAACTCCATCAGTTTAAACAGGAAAAAATATAGATGTAAAGCAAATAGATTCTATTTCAGTCTAGTTTTTATGTTTGTTTTCCTTTATTTTTCTCCTTTTTATACATAATTATAAATATTTATTATTATTTTGAATTAAACTTATTGTGTTTCTTAATGTTTAAAGTTTTTCCCAATTAAAGTTTTGGTTGATTTTATTTTATTTTATTTATTTTTTTGGTTAATGTTGGTTTATTTTTAAAAGCGCGTTTAGTTTAGTTTATTCTAAAGATTTAAATCTTATTTTCTTTAGACTTCTCATTAGAATCTGTTCAAACTAGAAGAAATAAAATGTTTTTCAGTCAACATGTTGCATTTTACGCGCACAGATCCTCCGCTCCCAGCTACTAGTGAACTAATAGTGAACTAATAGTGAACTAATAGTAAACTAATGGTGAAGTCAGTCAGTTCTCGCTGGTTCGTCTGGTTTTAAAGGTAACAGGACGCGGAGGAGCGATGAATTGATCCAGAGGTTCCAGATGTTCGCTCCAGGCGGTGATGGTGAACCATGCAGACCCGGAGGAGCCTCAGAAACTCTCCGCTGCGCTCAGAGCGGATCATCCTGACCAGGTGCGCCCCTTCCTGCGGTTCCCTCAGACCGCAGAACCCGCAACCAGCGCTGGAAAAACGGACCGACGGAAAGTTGCGGCGCTGAGGAGGCTTACCTGATCCGCGTGACTAAAAATCCTCAGAGAGGAAAAGCATCCAGTCCACGGGAGGATCTGGGACCCCACGGAGATCCGCTCACATCGGGGTCCACGCAGCTTTGTGCGGCCGCTGCAGCGCACAGGCTGTGATGTATGAG